GAGGGAGATGCAGTTTGTCTTCCTCACCACCAGTACCGGGTCCCTTATCGACCACCAGGTGTTCAAGGAGTCTGCTATGGGGAGTGTGGGGGGGAGCCTAGCCATTGCTGGATTGATCGTGGGAGAGGAGCAGGCCAGCCTGAGGGTGGCCATTCTTCTCTTGTACTTGAGCATGACTGTGAGTGGGGGGAGGCAGGCCTTGCAGGCTGGTATGTTTGTGGGTATCACCTGAAAGCAGTTTGTGACCCAGCAGAGCACCTTGTTCCAGAAGACGGACAGTTTGTCCAAAGTCGCCACTGTGGGCTGGAAGAGGTTGACCCCATAGGACAGAATTGGGAGGATTAGGTGAGAGGCCAGCCTGTAGCAGGCCTAGGGAGCCATGCCAGCTCCTGGCGGGGAGAGTTGTTGGACATTAGTGAAGCCAGTCTGCACCAAGTTGAGACTGCTCAAGAAGTGGGTAATGGTTTCCAGGGTTGAGGTGAACCAGTAGCCGAGCCAGTGAATGACCCTGGAGCGGTGAAAGACCATGCCATTCACAGTGATGGGGGAGGTGGAGACTTCCGACCTGTCCTTTTCAGTGCGCCATTGGAAAAGCTCCATCTTTGGGATGGAAAAGGACACACCGATCTTGGCTGCCCTGTTAGAAAGTAAAGAAAAAATACACTGAAGAGCCCTGATATTCTCCCTGTAAGAAGCAGAAGAAATGGTAATGGAAAAATCATCAACATATGAAAAAAATAATTGAATGAGGTATTGAAATATGGAAGCCAGAAACATAAATCAAAAACAACAAAGTAGAAACAGGAGAGCCTTGAGGGGCTCCAACTTGAACAGGACAATAAACGCCAGGGGCTACCTAGAAAAGGAGCTTGCACTGATGATTAGAAAGGAAAGAACAAACCCAAGACAGGAGGTACCTAGGCACCCTGCATTTGGTGAGAATCTGAGAAAGAGTAAAGGAAGAAATGTTATCAAAGTTACCCTTAATGTCCAAAAACAGGGTGGAGAACTTAGTGCCTGGGTGCTGGTGGGAGTGGACTTTGTGGACGAGGGACACCAAGGTGTCAAAGATTGAGAGGCCTGAGAGGGAGCCACACTGGTTGGAGTTGATGAGGCCAACAGACCTTGCAATGAGGGATAGGTGAGTTGCGACAATCCTTTCTAGGATTTTGGAGATGGTCTCAAGGAGTACAATAATCCTGAAGGACACTGGGGAGGAGTAGTCAGGCTTGCCTAGCTTTGGAAGTACTACCCCATTGGCCCTTTTTAGGAGGATGGGGTGGTATCAGTGAGAGAGGAGGGGTGAGAGGAGGTCGAGGAGGATATTGGGGTTGGCCTGGTTCACTTCCTTCCAGATACTATAGGGGATCTGGTTGGGACCTGGGGCCGAGGAGGAGGAGGATTTTGTGAGGGCTCATGAGATTTCCTCCGGGAGGAGAGGACAGTCATTGTGTGGTCTTAGCCATCCGGCAGAGGGAGAGGGTAGTTTGGGAGGAAAGAAGTGGTCGAGGAGGGAGGCGTTGAGTTCCAAAGGGGTTGAGGCTCGAGGGAAGGAGGGAAACCATTTGGTTAGTTTGCCTGTGGCTACTCTCTTGGTGTCCCAGACCATAGAGGAGAGTGGTTACTGTTGTGAGGTATCATGTGAGCCAGACATTCATAGTGAGGTCAGTCAGTCAGGTAGGGAGGAGGTGCTGAGATGGACAGGGATTCCAGGGCCAGGAGTAGCGAGGCCCAGTCTGTCTTTTTCCAATCGGGAGATGGAGGAGGAGGCTGCAGCAGTGGGAAGGAAAAAGTGGCTATGATTGGCACATGGTCTGATCCAGTCAATGGGAGCTTGGTATGCCAGTTGGCGAAGTAGGGCTGGAGGAGCCTATTGGCAAAAGTGAGGTCCAGGACCTCCGGTTGGTTGGAGATGTGAAAGGGAAATCTAATGAAGATGGCGGGTATGTTAAGGAGCGAGAACTGGAGCTCATTTGCCAAGTCAAAGTAGGGGGAAGAAGTCGCATATTCGTTCTAGGAGATTGTGCATAGGGGGTCTGATTGGGGATGGTGGATATTGAAATCTCCCACCACTAGTGTTGGGAAGAGGTGGTCCTTAAAGACTTCTTGGGGGAGGACTGTCCTTGTAACTGTGGAGGGCCCTGTGGTAGAGTAGGCATTGTAGAGTCTAAGCTGTATGTATGAAGCATTAAAGAGGCTGTCAGCAGGAGAAACATCGAAGGCCATTAGGTCAGGTTTGTCAAAAAAACAAGGCAGGATAGAGAAACCTTTTTGGAATTCAAAGGAAACATAAGTGGAGACCCAAGGGGGGGCACCTGGAAGGAATGGTTGGGCAAACGCCTTGTAGAACCCGAAGGAGAGCAGGGGGTCCCAGAAAACAGGGGGGTCCTGAAGTAGGACTATTTGAGGGGCAGAAGATAACATTTTAAAGCTATTAAATAAAGAAAGAAAAACATCCCAGCTTCCCAGTTAATTATCAGGAACAAAGGAAAGTTGTTTGAGGGTGGAAGGAGTATGGTACCCTAGGGGCAGAGTGGCGGTGTTGGGCATCGCACTCATTGAGCGAAGGCATCAGGGGAGAATGGGCGAACATTGTCGGCCTACTGGAGAAGGGCAACTGCATGTCTGGGTTGAGGGGCCATGAAGGGGCCATGAAGGGGCCAGCAGGGGGGATGACTTTTGGGGTGGCGAAGAGACTTTCGCTGAAGAGACAGGAGGCAGCCCCAGTATTGGTGAGTGCCTATATGTATGTTAGTACTGCTTCATAGCAACATGGCTCCATAAGCGTAATGATATATAATAATAATAATAATAATCCCACCTATTTCCTTCCAACTCATCCTCCTATTCCCAATCTATGTCCTCCTCCCTACAACTTCTATTGCCAGGGCCCCCATACTTTGGCACCTGCCCCAGGTAGCCTTTCCTAGTAGTAGACCAACTCTTCCCTACAAAGTCCCCCACAGCCAGCAAGCCAACCTTGGATCCAAGCACATCTGGGAGGTGAAAATATTGAGCAACTTCTTTCAGGAGGTATCTATGTTGTTGATATTTGCTGCAATGCAGGAGGATGTGTTCTGGTGTCTCTAGTGCTGGTGACTTCTTCTCACAACTCCAACTGTCAATGACATTCTCATGTAATCTAGATAGATAGGATTTGAAGTAACCATGCCCAAGTCTGAGTTGGGTAACAGTTGCAAGTTGCAGTCTGTTGTGAGTAAAGAAGTGGAGTACAGGTCTGAGGGTTGGGAGGTGAAAGTGTATGGACTTGTAATGTTTGCCCTTCCAGGTATCTGGTAGCTCAGTCCAATACTGATGCCAGGTATCGAGGTCAGACTGTCTAATCTGGGTCTTCAATTTGGTCACTGAGGTATAACTGTCTGAATCAGGTTAGAGATACTCAGCTACTTGTTTTGCAAGTCTGTCTACTTCATCATTCTCTTGAATTCCTGTATGCCCAGGAACCCATTGAAGAAGAAGCTGTAAGTGCAGGTCAGAGGTTAGTAAGTCCTTGGTAGGTTGTTGTATTTGTAGTGAGATCTGCTGTCTAGGATGAGGGGAGAGTCTGTGGGAGTTGGTGATTGCTGCTTGATTGTCTGTGAAAACCTAGATGTGCTTGTTGTATAGGTTGGACCTGCTGGCTTCTGTGAGTGCTCTGGCAATACCTACCAATTCCCTTTCATAGACCTTCATTCCTATCCTAAGTCCAACACTCCATCTGCCCACAATCATTCCACCATACAGCAATGCTACTGCAGCTCCAACTCTTCCATCCTCCAACTCACTCCCATCTGTATAAAGGAAAAGGTTGTCATAGTTATTGATAGTGTTGAAGAGGGGAATATGATATCTGGCTGTTGTATCTTTGTCTTCTTTGCTGATGGTGATGTCAAGTCTAGAATGGGTAGTGGTAAGGTCTTGCTGCCATCAGGTCTTAAGGAGAGGATGCATTTGTTCTAAGTTGTGTGCTGTTGGAAGAAGTAAACTTAGTGAATTGAGTACTCTAATTAGTTAGGTGGCAAACTTAGCTTGTTGGACATCTAATTGCCTCCAATCTACCTTTTCCTTGCCATATGGTTCATACTGTGAGTCAAATGTATAGTGATTCCTCCTCTTTATTGTGTGTATACTCAAAGAATCATCACGAACAGACTCTGTTGCCATTACAACCACAGCAAAAGAAAAACCCACACCAAATTTTTCGCCAAGCTTTACTCTCATTGGTCAACCAACAATTATCACTGCTTCACCCCTCATTTTATACACTTTTGCCAACAAATCATCCCCTCCTACTTGTTGCTTTATTACAATTATCAACTGAGTCATTTCTCCATTACCTCTGATGTCTGCCAGACAAAGGGGCAGAGGTAGGAGTGGTAGGAACCCCCTCACCAGCCCATTCCAGTCTCACAACTTCCCTCCTCAACAATCTTCACCAGTGGAAATGCACATGACAGATGATCAAGTCTCTCTTGTCTGTCCAGCCCCTGGCCCCAACTTCAGTGATGATAAGGAATCAGCTTTCTCTTCTCCTCGCCCTCCTCCTACCTCAGAAATGAACAAACCATCCTACCAAGAACTTGCTACCCAAATCAACCTCCTCCCTGAAACCCTTCAAGCCTTGCAAAACCACCTCCTTGTTGTTCAAGATCAACACATTCAGGACACTCAAATCTTGAAAGGTGAGGTAGCTGCCCTCACCTCCAAAGTTGTGTTGCTAGAAACACAACTTCAACACCCAACAACCACATCAGCGTCCACCCTCCCCACACCACAGCAACAACAACAACCCCCTACATATACCCAGAAGGTAGCCAAATCGCTCTCCTCCAAACCCTCTACCACTCCACCAAACAAAATTGCATTACCTGCAGTTATGACCAAACATGACTGTACAATTGTCATTGAAAGAGATGGAACAGCTCTACCTGACCATACTATCACCCTCACCATCCACAATGCAATCAACTCAGCCATTAAGAAACCTCTTATTGCCATGATTGAGTTCACTACCAACCACCATGTCCTTTTAATCACCAAAGACAATACTCCTGCCACCTCTGCCCTCAAACACCATCATTTTGCTATTCAGGAAGCAATCAGAGCTACCATACCTGCTGCTATTGGCCTCAGAAAAGATGAAATCTGGCACAAGGTCATACTATACAGTATCCCTACCACCAGCTCCTTCACTACCATCCACGCAGAGATTGAAGAATTCAACCCTGGGATCCACCTTCCCTCACATGCTAGATGGCTCACCATAGAAGACCAACATCAGAACAAAGCTACTTCAGCTATGGTCCTCACAATTGCCTGCAAAGACTCCACAGACAAGGCCCTTAGCAAAGGTCTCTCCCTCTTTGGCAGGAAATTCAAGGTTCAACATTACTTAACCTTTGGCCCTGACACCCAATGCAATAAATGCCTAGCCTTTGGCCACTACACCAGCCAATGCAACAGGCAAACACACTGTGCCATCAGCTCCTGAGTGCACTCAACACACCTCCACACCTATGGTAGATCAGATTGTCCTATCAAGGGTAAAATGTTCCTTTACACCACTATCCAATGCACTAATTGCAAAGACTCCCAACAAGCGACATCCCAGGAATGTTTCACCTACATCATGGGACACCAGGCAGCAACTGAGAGGTGGAACAGGGCTACTTAGGTTTTCTTACTTGTATTTCCTTTTATCTGTTAGGCCTTAGGCGGGGTAATGGATCTCCTTTATCATTATGGCTCATGCTTGACCCACTCAAAAGATGATACTACCATGTAGAAAGAGGCGGATCATGGACCTGGTACTTGTGAGTACCCATATGTACGTTAGTACCATTTCATAGCCACTTGGCTCCATAACTATAATGATATATTATAATAATAATAATAATAATAAAGAATCATCACTGTCAGAGGAGGAGGAATGGTGACTATTGAGAGTATTTGTTGTCAGAAGTGTAGTGAGGAAGGATGATAGGGTTTTCTATCTGCCAGGATGGTCTGGAAGCATCTGTAATACTCTGTAAGTATATCTCTTGCACAATCTATCAAGTCTGAGAGGAACTGGGAGAGTGGCAGCTTCAACATCAAGAGCTGCAGTTGGTGAAGTCCTGAAAGCTCTGAGTATCCTCCTGTTAGCTTCTGCCTGTAACTTCTCCAACTAGTTAGCCAGTCCTATCTGCCCTCTCCAATAGATTTCTGCTCCATAGTCAGATATTGGGGTAATGCAGGTATAGTATAGTTGCCTCATTGCAGGGAGAGACGGTCCCCATTCTGTGTTGGCCAGCCTAGAAATCATATTAAGTGCTCTGGATGCTGATGCTGTCTTTTGCTGAACATGGTAATTGAAAAGTGGCTTCCTGTCCATCCAAACTCCAAGCTATCTGAGGTGTATTGAGGGGTGAATGACTGTACCATAAGGTAAAGTAACTGGTGTATTGCTTGTATGATTGGAGGTTTTGTTGTGGAAGTGCATGAGTTCTGTCTTGGGGTCATCAAATACTATCATATTGTCAGCTGCCCACTTCCAGGCCCTCCTGGCTGCCACCTCCAAAGCTTTCGAGTTGGCTTCTTCAGAGGGTCCTGATACCACAAATGCAATATCATTAATGAAGGAAGGGAATCTTAGCTGTGGAGTAAGAATAATTGGTTGAAGATATTTGAATAGGTTTCTGAGATAGAAGAAAAAGAGGATTCGTGAGATTGGTGAGCTTTGAGGAATGCCAGTATTGACTGGAGCTAGAGGTTGTCTTCGACCATCAAAGGCCAATCCAAGTTATCCATGTGAAAGAAAGCTGTCTGTCCTTGAGAGTACTGGTAGGGGGAAACCTAGAGCCTATAGCATCAAGAGTAGTAGTGTTTTGGAAACATGGTCAAAGGCACTTTTAACATCCACAAAGAGGGTAGAGAGTACTTTACCATTACATCTAGCCTGTTGTGCATCATGAACTGAAGCCATCACTGTATCCACTACACTCCTCCCAGGTCTTCCTCCCATCTACTCAAAGTGTAAGAGTCCCTGAGTTTCTGCAAGGTAAGCAAGTCTGTTGGCCATAATCTTTTCTGATATTGTTCCTAGACAGTTTAGCAGAGAGACTGGTCTGTAGGCTTTAGGGATAGAGTAATCTGGTTTGTTAGGTTTTCCGATGATGGTATATGTTGCTTCTCTCCAGCAATGAGGATGATAGCCTATTTTCAGCAGTGTCTTGAACATATAAACAAGGAAGGTGGGGATAGTATGATACACTTGCCTCAAACAAAGAAAGATGATACCATCAGAACCAGGAGCCTTGTGAGGTACAGACTTGAAAAAGGCATCCTTCACCTCAGAGTCAGTAATATCAACCCAGGGGAAAATTTTAGCTAATCCAGTATCTTCAGGGTGAAAGGTTGTCTGTGTAGCAGGTGGATCTGGAAATATAGCATCTCTGAACATCTGACACTTAGATTCAAAGTCAACAGTATACTGTTCACCAAAAGATAGAGGAGGAGTGCTGAGTGACTTGGTTGGTCTGGTATACTTAACTGCAGTAAAGATGTCTTGACCTGTGGAAGTATTGAGGAAATTCTGCCAACAGTTAGTCTTACTGTCCCTGATTGCTCTGAAGTACTTATTCTTAAATCCTTTGTAGTCAGTGTGATCAGTGTCAAGATGAGTGAGTTTCCACTTGCTGTAATGCTTTGCCATATCCTTTCTTATAGAAGAAAGTTCCTCACTCCACTATCTCTTTGACCTTGAGTAGGGTTTGCTGATAGGGACATGAAGGGAGAGAGAGTGTGATGGATGGTGTCTTTGAGTATAAGTGCAGCCTGGTCCAATACATTAGTAGTACCAGATTCCAGAAGTGAGTAAAAGTTAGAGGAAGACTTATCCATTAAGGAGACAAGACACCTCTGAAAAGACTCCCAATCTGCTTTCTGCCGGTTGTATTTGTTACTCATAGCACTTGGAACTAGATCATCAGCATTCAATACTAGGGAGAATCTTACCACCTCATAATTACTGCCAGTATGAGCATCCTCATCTACTGCTCAATCAATAACTCTGTCAAAGATATCCTCAGATGCAAGTGTAAGATCCAAAATAGAGGTACCAGTGCCTTGTCTGTGGTTGTAGTTAGGAATATCTGGATAGTTAACTAGATCACATTTGTTAGCTCTAAACCAATCTACAAGAATATTACCTCTGATTTGTTGTTGAACTTCTGAGTTCCATAAACTATGATGTGCATTAAAGTCACCACAAAGGATAGAGAAAGGAGGGAGGTGCAGCTGGTACAAAGTTCTGTCCATAGTGTAGATTGGCCTAGAGTCAGGTGTCAGCTTTCTTCTTTCATTGTAAATATTCCAAAGGTTAAACTTCTCTTTTCCAGCAAGAATCTATAGGGGAAGGACATCACCATCAAGGTGAGGAAGAAGATCAGATCTGAGGGTACAAAGAATGTCTGTCCTAGATTTGTTAATGCATGCAGCAGTTCTAGGTTTCTCATTATTACTAGTATCAGGTATAATAAGATCAAAGGAGGGGTGAGAGTAAGGAGTGGTATCAGAAGCCAACCAGGACTCCTGAATAAGAACAATATCTGGTGTATTATTAGTGTAGTGAAGGAGTGAGGTCAATACTTCATAGGTCTTTGCACAATTGTGCTGGACAATAGTGATTGGTTTGTTCCTCATAAGGTAAGGGAAGTGTTATCAATGGAGGGAAGTACTGGTTTTTTGACTAAGTTCCTGTAAACTTCACATCTGAGATCAGTAGCTTTGTGAGAGCCCTCACAGTTAGCACACTTGAATAGGGTATGGGAACATTCCTTGTTAGACTGGCAAGTATTGCATTTGTGGACTCTGGTAGGATGTTCAGCAGTACAGAGGTGGCATCTGGTAGGGTGTCTGCAGATTCTGTGGTGGTGTCCAAACTTCTGTCAGTTTTTACATTGGGTGATAGGTCTGGTGTCAACAAACTCTGAAGTTCTAACTGGTGTTCCTGCTAGCACAAGTCTATTTCTCAGTGCATGCTTCAAGTCTTGAGGGGACTTAAAGGAAAGGACAAGTGAGAAGTGTAACTTCTCTGCTCTGGACTCTGGTTTGGTTAACCATCTAGGGAGTGTAGCAAGCTTAATGTTAGTGTTGTAAGTCTCAATATCCTACTTCAATGCCTCCATCTAGTCCTCTTTACTATCTGCAAGAATCAAGTCAGTAGCAACAGAGTGGGCAACCAGCTTATACCATCTTTCCCTCACAACTACCTCCTTCAATCCTGGTACCAGATGACTCCAAACATTCTCCTTCTCTTTTAGTTCTGCTGCAGTGTTGCCTGGCTTCACCTCAATCACTATGTTACTATTGACTGAAAGTCTAACAGGAGCAACAGTAATATTCAGCTCAGCTTCAAGCAGGGCACTGATGATAGACTCTCTGATTTGGAGGGTATTGAAGTTGACTGGAGTGGTGGCAGGCTTGAGAATAATGGTTCTTTCAGGCTCTGGGGTAGGATTTGGGCCCTTTTTTGAGGCTTGGGAGGTAGAGGTAGAAGTATTTGGAGGTATTGCCTGTTCAACAACATTAGCCTATGTCTTCTTATCAGGTTGGGGAGAGGCAGGATTGGAGGGAGGGGTAGTCAGTTGGTCAAGTCTGGTAAGAATATGTTCTAAAGTCTCTTCCTATTTACTGAGTCTGATTTCAACATCAGGAGAGATGGTTGGCGTGGCAGTGAAAGAAGTAGTAGCAGACTGGGGGTAGTTGCTGATCATAGTATAAATGTTGTTGAGAAATTCCTGTTCACTGTCAGTATAGATACATTTCCACATGGTAATTTTTCCACAAAGATATTTCAAGAAATACTCAACAGACTGTTTCTCTTCTGGTTGAGAACTAGGAACAGAGGTTTGAGTGGCAGGAATCAGTAGGGCAGAGCCAAGAGAGGAGGTGAGATTATAAAATGCAGATGAAGAGGGTAGTGAATCAGTTGTAACTTCCTTCCTACCTCTCTTCTTGAGAATAGAGATGTCAGGAATGTAAGAGTGTTTGGGTCTAGTATTTGTATTAACATTCCGTAAACTACAAGTACGCTAATGCTAAAGAACTGCCTAACAGTTATATGTCTTATGGCATGTCATTCCCTGACACCCAACAGCCTCCACCCCACCATAAACCTAACCAAAATAAAAATAAAAATAAAAACAAAAACAAAAACAAAAACAAAAACAAAACAAACTAAATCACAACTTCAAAGGAGCTCACAGGCACTTGTTCCACCAGTGAACCCGGGATTAATGTGTCTTCTCCCCTTGCAGCACTCATATCAGGAAGGGGCACCAAACTGCCATCCTCCTATGAAAACAACTCATCCAACAAATTCATATCCCATACATACCGAGTTTTCCACACATTAAAACATTTCGCAGTATCCTTCACATGCCTAGAAAGCCCCCCACTTGAAGCAAATCTAGCACCACAAACACAAATTGACAATCTCAAAGGAACAAAATGCAAAACCACCAACCTAACAACCTTATCTGACAAATAAGGAAAATTCCTCCACAATTTCAATTTCTCATATCCCCTCCAAACCTTCATGCAATAACTGTACTCCTTCAGATGCCTAATTAGACATAAGTAGATATG